TTTTTTCTTATTTACTTTTTATTCATAATCATAAACTTAACTCTGCAATCCAACTAGACTTGGAGGGGAATGAGGAAAATATGGCACCCAAAGAATTGAGTGAGAGTGGAGATTACAGGGTACTGTGAGCAGATGGAATGGAGTGCGCTCTCCTGAGCTACAGAAATGTTCCCTGCAAGTCAAAAGAATTAGAGCTGTCCACAGTCAGAAATGGTGATCTTCTCGCTGGTTTTGCCATCCCTGGACCCAAAAGAGCTCTATGGCTTCCACAATGCTCATGCCATCTTTCACCTTCCCAAATACCACATGCTTGCCATCCAGCCGCTCAGTCTTGGCAGTGCAGATAAAAAACTGGGAACCATTTGTGTCTGGTCCAGCATTTGCCATGGACAAGATGCCAGGACCTGTATGCTTCAGGATGAAGTTCTCATCCTCAAATTTCTCCCGGTAGATGGACCTACGACCAGTGCCATTATGTCATGTGAAGTCACCACCCTGGCACATGATCCTGGAATAATTCTATAAAAGGAAGAGAGAACCCTTATATCCCAGTCCTTTCTCTCCAGTGCTCAGAGCATGAAAGTTCTGTGGTCTTTGAAACTTTGTTTGCAAACAGCTCGAAAGAGACGCAGCCCAACGGCTCGCCCTCAGCTGAGATGTCAAAGAACTGGGTGGGGTTGACCATGGCCACAGCAAGCAGTGACAGGGGACAACGGTATCTGCCCATCTGTTACCTTTACTTCATTAAGTCAAACTGTGTTCTTAATTACTTAGTGTTAGAGATGATAGTCCTTGTCACATGTAAACGTTATGTCATATGCAGAGTATTAAAAACTCAGTTCAGAACTGGATCATGATGGCTAATAGTTGTTTCTTTCTCAAGGGCCTTTACCAGCTATTCCTCTTTCCTACCCACTACTCAGCCTCTTCTACATCAGATCATATGAATGACATTTCCTAGCTATGAGACCTTATAACATTTAATAATATTTGGACACCTTCATATACAAATGTGATGCTTTGAAACTGCTAAGGAAAACTCCTGAAAATAAGCTGTGTCCACAGAAACTGACTGACTGACTGACTGACTGACTGACTGACTGACTGACTGACTAGAAATTTAGTAGTGTGGAAAGACTGAAATGTTTCAGGTCCAAAGACTAATTTACTTTATCTTAGGCTAATTGTGTGACAGCAAAGGGTTTTCTACTTTGTCTCAGCTGGGGCCGTCACTGACCTAATCTGAAATTACCACCACCTCCCCATCTTTCCCCACCACAAAAAGTCCCATGGCAAAGTATCCAAGCCAGTTCTAGAAACATGGGGTTGAAATGTCCCAGCTAACTTCATGTTTTTGGCTTCTGTTATAGACTGTCTGCTTGCTTTACTTCTCCCTGCAACTACCAAAAAGGATGTAGTTTTCCTGTGTTCTTTGCCTTTAAAAGCTCCCTGTAAAATGCATTCAAGGCTACTCTGTGAGAAGTTTCTCTCCATGTAGTCACGAGCAGCTTAATGTGAACTCTCAATCAGAACTTTGGTCATGTTGAGTGGTCTTTAGGGACATTACTCCTGCAACTCTTGGAGGTCCCACCAACATCCTTTCAAGACCCTCACCAGTTTGACCAACACCCATGTTTCATCTTAGACTTCCTCCTAGAGGGTGTAGAATATAAGATGTTCTGGGGTTCAGGGAAAGAAGAACTCGGTGCTTGCATTAGTCCAGGTCCCTCTGACAGCCTGTCTAAATTTTCTTCAGTGAGAGTTGCCTGGTCTATCATCTCCAGAGGTTAAGTCTGGCTAGGGCACCCTCTGTTTGGACATATGGAGAGGACAGATGTGGCCACTAACCCAGTTTCTCAAATTTTTGTGAGATGTCACTGGACTCCGCCAAGCTATTCAGGTAGGGGTGCACCTAATTAGGCCACCCCAATCTGTCTTATTGCTACAGAGATTTGAAGCTATGGATAGGTCCCAGTTACTGGAGGTAGCCCAAAGGTGTTTAACAACAGAGAACGAATTGAGAGCCGGAAGGATAAGAGACACACTAGGTCCGTAGTGGCAGACTTAAGAAAACACCCAGATAATATATGCCAGCCTGGGCAACAGGTACAAAGTGGGCCAGGAGACACGAAGGCCAACATTAGAGGAAGATCAATGTACCTACTGCAAGGAAAAAGGACACTGGGAAAATAAATGCCATAATTGGGAAGGAGGCATGATGCACAAGTACTACACTTAGAAAAGAGATGGGGTGAGCCCCGGCTCCCACACTTTAAGACCCCAGGAGCCTAGGATAATACTTAAAGTTGGAGGTAAAGCAATTGACTTTTTAGGAAACACAGAGTTGACATATTTGGTCCCTACGAAACCCTTAGGCCAACTTGCTAATAAAAACACTGCAGTCCAAAGAGCAACCGGAAACCCTGGACCACTTCCCATTCCATCTACCTAGTAAAAAGGGCACAACCCACTTGTTCTTAGTCATGCCTGACTGCCCCTACTCACTTTTGGGGTGACATCTTTTACATCAACTGAGAGCCACCATCACCTTCTCTGATAAGGAAAAGCTGTTAAACTTTACCCTGCAAAATTTTGGGGTCTTGTAATTGTCAGAAACCAACTGACGTTGCTCAGAGGTTAAGAACACTAGCTGTTCTCCCAAAGGACCAGGTTTCAATTCTCAGCATCCACATGGTAGCTCACAACTGTCTGTAACTCAGGTTCCAGGGGACTTGACAGCCTCACACAGGCATACATGCAGGCAAAACACCAATGCACATAAAAATAAACAAACAAATAATAAAAAGGAAATAGAAAGGGAGGGAGGAACATAATCTCATCATAGAAAGGAAAAAAAACTGATTCCTTAAAATTAACACTTTGAAAGGAGCTAATGTCAATCCAAAGACTGGAAGAAAATAAGCAAAATTGCAGCTGGCTGCCAGGAATAGTGACTTCACATTTACATTAGTAGGACTGATGACAAATAACAGGCCAGCCTGAGCTCCGAGATCCTGCTCAAATATTCAACATGGCAATATAGCAAGTGCCAAACAAGGGGGCAAAGACAGTGTTTACTACCCAAACAGAACTCATAAATGCTCAGAAACTTGTCTACCTGAACTTAAAGAACAGAAGGCCAATGAGACAATGATTTAATAGTATACTCATTTTCTCTAAATCCAAATTCAAAGCTATTCCTACAAAAATAATAACTTTGAAAACAAGACAAATGTTTCTGAAATTTGTATGTTAAAGCAATTACCTACAAATATTTAAGAAATTCTGGCCAATAGGGAGACTTGCCTTACCAGTTGTTATTAAAAAAAAAAAAAATCACAGAAAACTCTAATAATTCAATTGATTATACTCAATATCCCAGAAAGAGACTGTCTTAGTTACCTTCTTTACTGGTAAAAACAACACAGGAGGAAAGGTTGGCTTTCTTGCACAATTCAGAGGGTAGTCAGGCTTTCCCACTAACTTAAGGACCCACTATTAGAAGCCTGTCTACCAGGTAAAGGGACAATTTTTCAGATCCAGGAGCAGAGAGGGCACATTTTACATGAAAACTCATAACAGATTTCCTCTGCAGCCATTTCTTACTTACCCAAATCTCATATGTGTATAAGTCTCAACTATGATCTTCAAACACTAAAATTTTCTATTTTTACTGTTATATTTAAACTACTTTTGTTCTAGAAGATTAAACCTAAAAAAGTATGTAATTCAAAACCCAAACTCTACCTTCCTAAGAATATACTTGCAATTTCTGTCCCTAGCTTCTAGCTTACTCCATTTCTATCTCCTTCAACCTCAGAAGATAAGATTTTTTTCTCCTCTTCTATTTAATAAGGCAGCCTGGAAAACAGCAAATTGTATCTAAATATCCATGAAAGGTTTTTCTACATATTTAAGGCACATATACTCTGGTGTTATATGCCTAGTGTTCAAAATTATTAGTTCCTTTTCTTTGCTCCAGTTACCTAATTCGATGCCTTTTGACTTCTCAGTAGTTCAAATCCTAACTAAGGACAGAAAGAATGAGAACAGAATTCTGCAAATGGGAAGGTGTTCCAACACAGGATGTAACTCCTGCTGAACAGGTAGTTCTTATACTTGAACATCCAGAGAAATGTCAGCACCATGTTATAGCACAGTTGCTAGATCCCATCCCAGGTTTCTATTCAGTACTTGTATTTCTAGCCATTTCCTGAATTCTATTCCATGTGACATGCTTTGAAACATATGTCTCTGGGGCTGGAGAGATGGCTTAGAGGTTAAGGGCACTGACTGCTCTTCCAGAGAACTGGACTTCAATTCCCAACACTCACACGGCAGCTCACAACTGTCTGTAACCCAAGATCTGACACCCGCACAAAGACATAAAAAACACCAATGCACATAAAATAAAAACGAATGAGTTATTTTTTAAAGAAAATTATGCCTGCATAAAGCACTGGTTATCAAGTGGTGACGCGAATGAATGAGCATTAACTGGCAGTTACTGAGTTAGTGAGTAGAGAGCACGAGTCCTGCTCAGCATTCTCTACTGGGACTAAACAGTGGCACACCAAAGAACTGACAGACCCAGCTCATCAGTACTCATGAGGCGGGGAAAGGGTGCAATGGCGTACCTCACAGTTTACTCCAATGTGTGATCTGACCAATAACACAGTAATGTCCACACAGAGCAGAATCTCAAAAATCATTTTTCTTGACTTTGTTCTCCAATAACCCTTTCAATTTTCCTCACCTTCAGCAAACTGAAGTTTTAAAGACACTAATACTTAAATGGTACAGCAAGCCACAGGAGGAAATAAGCATTTATTCAATGTTATTGGTAGATTTCTAGCAAAGAAATATAAATTAATATTCATTTCATATGAATTATAAGAAAACACTAATTGAAAAACTAATTAGTGATGAAAATGTTTACTCTGACACACACACACAAGCAGGCAATGGACACACACACACATACATTCACATGAACTTACTCCAATGGGCTGAAAAATAAGTCCATCCATTTCATGGCTGACGACTTTGGCAAAATTTCCTTCCAGGAGCTATAAAATAAAAATACATTCTTTAGAAATGTAATAATCACTTAAAAATTGTTTTAACTTCTTGCTAAGATTTCTGAAAATTTCTTTAACATTTAAGAACTGGAAATGTTAGCGAGGCAGAAACAGAGTTAAACTATGTGATCTTGGCTCCCAATTTGTAACCTCATCTTTGCTGTCACCTCATTTTCCGAAGTCTCTAACTTCCCTAATATAAAAGCAGTACACATTAGCATTTGAACATGCTTACTCCCTCTAAGGCTAATATAAAGTCTTGTTACACACAAATGATCTGAGGAAGCTTAAGGTGCAGAGCATTTACGTTATACTGACTGACTGACTGACTGACTGACTGACTGACTGACTGACTTGACTTACCCCAAACATTTATAAATGATGGGCAAAGGTTAGAAGAAGACAAAAGTCAATATAAAAATTTGATAATCCCTATACCACAACATGGAAAGCTGTCCCATGTTCAGAACCTAAATAATGAACTCTAAGAATATATGAATAAAAAGTCAAAACAAACACTTTCATGCATTTAGAACTGAATAAGAGCAAAACCATGGTAGAACGATATTTGACAGGTCACACTAAACATCTAATTTAGAAAGAGGCAGACCAGGTGTTGTATTAACAGTTTCTTCCAGATTGAAACATTTCATCCTGCAGGAAGTTCCTTAAGCAGGAAGGTAAATAACTCAAAATAGCTTCAGAAGTCCCAGAAACTTGCCAGATTCATTAGGCCCTCGTCATAGTAAGTAATTAAAGCCAAAATCCCCCTCAGACAGAAGGAAGCTGAGCTGCAAAGACAACTCTGAGAGCAGAGCCACCAGAATCACTGGGAAACCTGCTGAGCTGCCTTCAGGCTGTGGGCTGTGCTCTACATTTCCCAGCTGTAAGGAGCTACTACCTAGGCTGGACGGGTGATACAGCCTTAGTGATACAGCTGTCTCGTGACAGTGATACAGCCCCTCACCCATATTCCTGCCAGAAGCCCCAAGAAAACTCATCAGTACCCATACTTTGGTCTGGAGTGGGATCAATCCCTGTGTGGGCTGAGTAGACATATGTGTTGTATCTCCCAAGGAAAAGTTTTATAACACAACAGGGAGGGAGAAGGGAAGAGAAGGGGAGGAAAGAGAAGATGTTAGGGGGACAGCCAGGGCAACACAAGCCTGTGGTCCCAGCACTTGGGATGCTGGAGTTGAAGGATGACAAGCCTGGGCTACAGAGCAACTTCAAGGCTAGCCTGTGATACACAGTAACACCCTGCCTGAAATAAATTAACAGATGATGGATGGATGGATATAGGCAGGCAGGCAGGAAGACTTAAAATCCCTAGAAGACTAAACAGGAATATCACAAATTGGAGGCTAGCCTGGCTTACATGGTAAGACTCTAAAACAGGAAGAGAACAAAGAAAGGAAGAGAAAGGAAAAGCAAAAGAAAACAGAAGGAGTCACAAATCAGTGATTCACCAATCTCTACCACAAAAGAGTAATTCCAACAAATTTAAGAACTGTAATTCTAAAAATGTCATTTGGGAAAAGCAAGCAAGTGCAATGAAAATGATCTCTTCTTCTAATCTCCAGTCCTCATTAAAGAAGGCAACTGCAGCTCACAGGATGATTTAAAAAAAAAAAAAGTAATTATTTCTCTGAAAAATCTCAGTTTTTAAAAGTCCAGACTGTAACTAGATAACAGGTGTTGAATATTAAATGTAAAAGTAGGAATGATAGCAGGGAATAAGTTTTCAAAGTGGCAGTATCAAATTTTAGAGAATGTCATTGAAGTGGCTCAGCTGGTAGAGAACTTGCCCAGATGATTGTCCCAGCTGTAGTCATCCACAGCTATAAATCCTCGATCAGAAGTTCAAGATCATCCTCAGTCAGAGAGGGATTAAGGGCCAGCCTAGACTAGAACATAAGACTCTGTCTATAGATAGACACAGATATAGATAAATATTATACAGATATATTTTAATAAAATAAAGTTACCGTGACAAACACGTCAAACTGAAGATAGGTAAAACCACTGAATGAAGATGCATTCACTAAGGATGATGATTAGTCTCTGAGAGTCAGGCAGTCTCCATAAAATGTGCCAGAGTTAATGAGGAGCCAAAAATTCCTCATGTTCAGATCAGATTCTGTTAATAACTTAAATGTCAGGCATGATTTAAAGCTACTTTTGGAATTTTATTTCTGACATTGTAATCCTAAATACTATGTCTCTAAAGTTTTGTAGATGTCTCTCCATATATATTGGGTTTTCTTTTGTTTTTTAAGACAGGGTTTCTCTGTGTAGCCTTGGTTGTCCTGAACTCACTTTGTAGACCAGGCTGGCCTCAAACTCACAGAAATCTGCCTGCCTCTGCCTCTCTGAGTGCTGAGATTATAGGAGTGCACTTATATTTTAAATAACATCTATTCATGAGTTATCATGGTATCCTAACATAAAGCATACTAAGCTTTAATTTCCTGGATGATCAACAGCTAAGTTAGGACTGGTGATATGGCTCAGTGGGTAAAGCAACAAACTTGGGCTGCTGACAACTCCAGAACTCTTGTAAAGTTGGAAAACGAGAACCTACCCCATAAAATTGACCTCCGACCTCCATAGGCACATCATGGCAAGTGCATGTGCACACCCCCCACACATACAAAAGCATATCAGGCATTTATCACACAGCATCATACATACACAAGCATTACACACACAAACACACATGTAACACACACATGCATCATACACACAAATTACTATTTTTTTAAAGCTAGATTAAAATAAGTTTTCATCCAGTACTCTTAGATTTCCTTAAAGCTGCTGGGTAAGTTTTTTCTTAATAATGGATGATATGTCCTTCCTTACTGATCTACAGGATGGATACACACCAATCTTGGGTTTCTATAAGGACAGGATGAGTCTGTCAGGTCCATCTTCATTCTATTGGTGCTTGGTCCTTTTTCTATGGATATGTGGGCTCTCAAAGGTAACATGCAATCCATGAATATGCATGGGATAGAGAGGTAAGATGTTACACTGTTCCAAAAGGCCAGCCAATCTCCTTAGAAAGTGGGCTCCCACGAAAGACCTGCTGCCAAAGGCCATTTTGGCCTTAAAAATATGTTCTGTTGGTCAATGTAAGGACCCAAAGTTAGGATGGGAGACAAACATGAAAGCTGCACACCTCCCACAGCCAAAAACTATTAAATGCTACCTGAGGTGTCACATTGCTCTGGCAGCTGGCTTATCCCTTAAAATATGAGCCATTTTCATAGGGGAGAGGTGGCAGTCACACCTGGCGAAAAGAGTCACAGGGGACTATATAGACGGCACAGTACATGATGGCCTAACTTAAGTCCCAAAACTCAAAAGGCTACAATTCGTATGTTTTAAAGGCAGAACTATCCATTCCTTGTGGAGAAAGGGGTGGGACGAAAATAGCTGCCACAAACATAAAAACCGAGGCCCAAACCTCTAAACAGGTACAAGGTGCCTAGGGTGTGCTTGAACACTAAAGGAGTTCATTTAAGGTTTATTTAAAAGGTAATGCCTTTTCTGTTGCTCTGGGCAAACAGCTCTTTAAAAGTGAGGCTTTGAGGGAGTAGGGGAGGAACAGGTGACACCTTGGCCTAATCCAACAGGGCCCAAAGGCCCAGAGGAGGATATTCAAAAAGCATATACGTGGCCAATGAATCCTTAGCTATACTAGCCTCAAAACTTATCCTGACCTATCAGTGGACTCAGAGAGGGGCAGGGAGGAGATGAGGAAGAGAGGGTGGAATTGGGAGGGAATAAAGGAAGGGGCTACAGCTGGGATACAAAGTAAATAAACTGTAATTAATATAAAAAATAAAAACTTAATTAAAACAAGAAAAAAATTCTTTTAATGGCATAGATAATTTGGTTTACATTTTGGTTTACAATTCAGACTGGCTTATGGAGAGATAGATGTCTTTCTTCTGTTCATAAATAGCGCAGAAAACATCCTTAGTTGATCTGTGTGCATCCTCTACATCTCATGCGTTTATTATTTTTGAACTGGACAACGGTGACGCTGGATCAAACCTGACAGGACTCATCCTCCAGGATGCTGGGATGCTGAAACATCTATTCTAACATCCTGCATGTTCCAGCAACAGCTGCTTCAGTTGTTGGTCCTTCAAAGCCTGATCTCAACTGATCGAGCCTTTCAGACTGTTCCAAACAGGACTTTATCTAAGCTTTTATTTCTCAACATTTAGAGACTGGACCACAAATGTTATTGCTGGCTTGCTTAACCATTTTTCCAAATTTCCTTTGGCCCCCAAAAAGGTATCTTATGCCCCAAAATCAGCAAAAAGCAACCCTAAGACAGTGACAGCCTATTTTCTTTAGAGAGGGTTGGGTAGATTTTTGGTTGTTCTAATTGGTTGTTCTAAATGCTTGTTATCAATTAGGGAGATCGGTTACACGTTATTAATGGTCTTTTTCAGAAAGAAAACGAGGTTAGACTCAGAGATTTCTCTCTTTTCCTTTTCTCTATCTTTCTCAGGTAAGGAGAAAGGATAGAAAAAAGGAATATAGAAATAAAGAAATAATATAATAAGACAAAAGGTAGATTATTGTATCTACTCTTCAACTTAGAGATGGTTATATTTAAATAAGTTTATTTTGATACACTGGTATAAATTTTGGCATACTGATATAAATTCACACACAGACACACACACACATATATTTTTATTCTGATATGAGGTATTGTACCCACACAACTCATAAATACAATATTTACCTCTAATACTTTTTAAACTGCTATTACAAACTGTTAAATAATTAAATAATACAAGTTAATTATTACTTGATTGATTCATGGTCATGTCAGATACTAGTCTAATTTATCACAGGAATATGTATCCTAGGTTCAACAGATAAATATGATTCTATAGAGAAATTATGTAAAAATAAATAGATAAGGTCTTCAAAACTTTCAGAAACCTATAGAATAAGGCATT